CATTTGGCTGGTGGCCAAGCTGCAGTTTGATGCCAAAGCTCATTCACACGCATTACCTTTTAAAGACACGTTCATGTTCTCACCCTGTAGACCAGGCTGGCCTTGAACTCCCAGAGATCCGCTGCCTCTACCTCTCGGGTGCTGGGGTTAGATTAAAGGCACATGCCACCACTCCTAGCTAAGCACCCGTTCTGGATTCTACTTCATTCTACATTTCTGTACTGGTGATCCAGTGCCCAGGTGACTTGGGGATCATTAAACACAAATGCATACGACCACGTAGTGTTCTCACACAGCCAGGGAGGCTCAGCCCCAGTTTTGAGACGACAAGAGCACCCGTCAAAGGATGAGTAAGGGTTTGTGGAAGAGGTCCTTTGGGGTTCCATTCAGAGGGAGGTCCACCTGCCCTCGAGGACATGGGTGGGTTCCTGAAGGTGGAAACAGAGAGAACATCTCTGATCCCAGTACCTCTTCCTTGCAGGTCTACATTATTGGCCACGTGCCCCCAGGGTTCTTTGAGAAGACCCAGGACAAGGCCTGGTTCCGAGAGAGCTTCAACGAGGAGTACCTGAAGGTGGTCCAGAAGCACCGCCGTGTCATAGCGGGGCAGTTCTTTGGGCACCACCACACCGACAGCTTCCGAATGTTCTATGACGATGCAGGTACTCACTCCGTCTTGAGGGAAGTGGCCCCTTGCCACTTTCCTCTTCCCAGAGTCCCTTTCAGCCTGTTGTCTTTTTCTCCGAAGGTGCCCCCATAGGCGTCATGTTCCTCACGCCTGGGGTCACGCCGTGGAAGACCACATTACCTGGAGTGGTCAACGGAGCCAACAATCCAGGCATTCGTGTTTTTGAGTATGATCGAGTCACGCTGAAGCTGCAGGTTAGGAGTGTGGGTCTGCTGGGGCCAGGGGTGGGCACCTGAGTGTGTCACCGCCTTTCCTAGCCCTTTGCTAACCCTCATGCTACTTAGCTGGTTAAACTTTGAAGCCACCTGCCACCTACTCAGGCCAGTTCTTCCCTCAAGTCTTTGTACCGGATCACTGTCCCCCTGCTTCCTGCCACACTCGGGAGGGATGCATCTTCCTAAAGTACTGACTTCATATTGCTTTGCTGCTACTTACAGATCTTAAGTTAAAATCACCTCCTTTTAGGATAGTATGGAAGACTCCCCACAGTCTGAGCTCAAGCCCATTGCCCCTGACCGTACACCAACTAGGACCCAGCCCCTAATACCATGAGTACTTCTTTTCCTTCTAAGATGTGCTGCAATTGTTGAATTGACAAAGAAATACTACTTCATTCATTTAGCAAAATGTTCTAAACACCTGCTGCATGTCAGGCCCTGTTCAAAGCTCCAGACACAAACAACAGAGTAACTGCTTTCCTTCGCCACAATCCCTACAGGAGGACGACAGTAAACAAATAAATAAAATTAAACATGGGCGACAGAAAAGGCAGGGTGGTAGCTGGGCCTGCTGGCACAGGACTGTAATCTCAGGCACTTGGGAGGCTGGAGCACAGGACAGAAATTTAAAGCCAGCATGGACTACATAGTGAGTTCAAGACCAGACAATAACATAGCAAGAAGACCCTGTCTCCAAAGGGGAGTGAGAGAGGGGGTTATGGCCACGGCTCAGTGGCTAAGTGCTTGCTTAACATGGAGGAGACACTAGGCTTGGCTTCCAACACTGAAGAAAGAAAGAGGGCGAGAGGGGAGGGAGGGTAAAGGGGCTGACAATTCAGGAGCGTGTTGGTTGACTGCGTTACAGAGATGGGACAAGGGAAGTAAGGAGGCTTTTGAGTTCTGTGTAAACTGAGGAAGCTGGCTAGGTTTGTAAGGAAGGTGGGAGGAGGACCAGCAAGGCAAACGCCCTGGGGTGGAAAGGGACTTGGTGTTTTAGGGGAAGAACATGGAGAGTGGGTGACCCTGAGAGCCCAAGGGGAAAGTGGAAAGTACCAGGCCAGATCCAGGTCATGGAGAGTACTCTGGATTTACAGAGCTGGGTACAGAAGTGTGAACTGCTCTGATTCACCGTTTCCAAAATCACCCTGTCTACTGGGCAAAGAGCGGACTGCTGTAACCCAGGCACAGGCACCGTAAGGAAGTAAAAGCACTGGCTGCCAGAGGGTGGTGGGTGGCGCACACCTTTAATGCCAGCGCTTGGGAGGCAGAGGCTGACAAATCTCTGTGAGTTCAAGGTCAGCATGGTCTGCGGAGGGAGTTTCAGGACAGCCAGAGATATATAGAGAAACCCTGTCTCTAAAAACCATAAAACAAAACAAAACGAAAAACCAAAAGTCAAACAAACAAACACCAGCTGCTTGAGGGTAGTGGCCCAGCTCTGGGTGCTGAGAAGTATCTGATCCTACAGGCAGCTCAGAGGCCGAGGAGCCAGGGTTTGCTGACAGATACTTGATGCAACTTTTCTTTCTTCTTTTTATTATAATCATTTATTTGATGTGCTTCGGTGTTTTTTTCCCGCGTGTCTGTCTGTGCGAAGCTGTCAGATTCCCTGGAACTGGAGTTACAGACAGCTGTGAGCTGCCGTGGGCACTGGGAATTGAACCCCAGTCCTCTGGAAGAGCAGTCCCTGCTCTTAACTCCTGAGCCATCTCTCCAGCCCTGATACAATCTTTCTGCCTCAGACTTCTTCTGAGTGCTGGGATTAGAGCTGCGAGCCTCCATACCCTGGCCTGTCTGAGTGTGTGTGCGTGCGCATGTGCGCACGAGGATACAAACTCAGTTCCTCATAGTTGTGCAGAAAGTGGCCTTGGGAGTTGGGGGGATGGCTCAGTGGTTGACAGGATGCGCTCGAGTTTGGTTCCTGGCACCCACATCAGCCAGCTCACAACTGCCTCTCGCCCCAGTTCCAGAGAATCTGATACCATCCTCTGGCCTCTGTGGGTACCTGTTTGCATGTGTATATGCTCGACACCACTGCCTGGTGTTTACCTCTCAAAATTAAAAGTAAAATAGATTTAAAAAAACACATAAGCACTAAGCCATCTCTCCTGCTCTGTCCTAAGAACTGGAAAAACAAATTATGTGTATGTGTGTGACTTACCAAAGTTAGTTCTTGCTTTTCTCCATGTGGATTCTGGGGATCCATTTCATTGGCCCTAGGTCCGAGGATTCCTGTTGTCTGCATGGCCACTCCATTACTTTCTCTGTACAGAGAGGATTTAGTACAATAACGTCACGTACCTGGCACACTTAGTTCCCACCCATTCACTGAAACTCCTCTTACCTGTCCGTAATAACCAGACATTTCACGGGGAGTGTGTTCCAGTTCTGAGGGCACTGCCGAGTCCTAGAGAGTCTAGCTTGAATGTGAAACCCCTATCAGCCGCAGGTCTCTAACCTTTGCCAGCCAGGCACACACCCAACCTGCTGCCGCCGCCATGGCTGCTCCCCCTCATTCTGTAAAGATTTACCAAGCGTCAGAGCTTCTGTGAGGAACTGTGCCTGCCAGTTTGGTGGGACAGGAAACATAGGCATAGGGAGGTAAGCAATGTGGGTTCTAATCCCACCTCTGGCACTGAACACTTGTGTGCGCTGAGAAGGTAACGTTGCTGTTGCAATACTGTGCTCACAATACCAACGTCATGGTTTCAGAGTGTTTTACTCCATCCTGGTAGGGAAGGCCTGTGGCTTGAATCAGGGACTCCTCATTGCCATTGAGCAGGAAGCAGAGGTGGCTCCAGAACCAGCTTCAAAGGCCTACTTCTGCCAGCTAGATTCTACTTCCTAAAAATTCTACAGCCACCCACAATAGCGCTTCCAGTTGGAGAACAAACACTCAAAATGAGCCTGTGGTGTTCGCTTCCGGTTCACACCATAACAACCTCTTTAGAATGGGGGTGTAGGTGTAGTTACCTCATCAGAACCAAGCACAGGTCTGCTGGGCATACCTGGCTGAGTGCTCAGTGGCGGAAGAGCCTGGGGACAGGCTGGGTTGTGGGTAGAAGGGAACAGCTAGTCATTACTGACATACCCCATGTCTCTAATCCAGGACATGGTGACCTACTTCTTGAACCTGAGCCAGGCGAATACACAAGGGACCCCACGCTGGGAGCTGGAATACCGCCTGACAGAGGCCTACCAGGTGCAGGATGCAGGCACCAACTCCATGCATACGGCTCTGACCCGCATCGCCAGTGACCAGCACATGCTGCAACGTTATTACATCTATAACTCTGTCAGCTATGACCATTCGACCTGCGGGGACATCTGCCGTGCCGAGCATGTGTGTGCCATGCAACAGGTGGCATTCAACACTTATGCTACCTGCTTGCATGGCCTTGGCTCGAAGCTGGTGCCCAGTTTCCTGCTCATGCTGACTCTGCTGCCAAGCCTGTCCGTATTGGTGGTGCCTTAACTGTAGGCACTGTCAACCTACCCTCTTACTGGGTTCATCTTTCTCCTGGTAAAATTGGGCAGCGTCACCCCACGGAGGGATGAACGTTGCTATCAGTCTCTTCTGTCTGCGGAGAGTAAACTAGAATGGGACATTTGGATTCACCAGAGAGGTCCCAAAGAAGCACATTTCTTTCAAATTTCACATTTTATCCACAAAACATGCCATACTCGTGGTACGTGTCTTTGTGCATTATTTCCTTTAATACATATGTATCAACTACCATGCATTTGATGGCTGCAGTAAAATGAGTCACCAGGAAGATCCTGTGCTCTAGACATAGTCCCTGCTCAAGGTCTGAGCTGGGTGCCCACGTGGTCTGCAAAACCCCTAGGTACTTTTTAAAACGTTTTCTGGTTTGGTTTCGCAACAGTGCAACCGTGAGGGATCGCAGTTGTGCCCGGGGCTCTAGGCTCTAGTCTTGCGGCCATTCCCGCCTCCTTGAACGTCAAACGCAAAATCTAAGGCAGCAGAAGCCCGGCTTTGGACAGGGTGAGCTGGGGGCGGGGTCTGGGCGTCTCGCTCCACCCCGGGCAGGGCAAGAGGGGGAAGTTCCGCCCCTCAGCCCCGCCTCCTCGACGACTGCCCCGCCCCCTTCCTGCCCGACGACGGGGGAGGGGGCTGGAAGGCAGGCCTGCGGTTGTGAGGCTGGCTTGATGGCCATGCCTTTCTCGCTGCGCTCCCCTCTGTTCTTGGACGTGGTCGTGGGTGTGGTGGGCACCCTGTCTTTCCTGCTGGACTTGGCCGCCGACCTGTGGACCGTCGTCCAATACTGGCGCGGTGGCCGTTACCTGTGGGCCGCGCTGGTGGTGGCGCTGATGGTCGTCGCCTCGGTGCTGCTGCAGCTCTTCAGCTGGGTCTGGATGACCACCGACCCCACCGAGCTGCACAAGTCAATACCCTCGCGTCGTTTCCTGACGCTACTACATGTGATGCAGCTCGGCTATCTGTACAGGTGAGTGCCCTGGCCCGTCGAGGAAAGGAACGTGGGTTGACAGCCGTCAGAGCCAAGTCCAGTGAGAAAGTCCCAGAGAGAAGAGTGTTTCTTAATTTTTATTAGTTTAATTTTAATTTAGTTTATTTATTTATTTATTTTCGAGGCAGGGTTGCTCTGCGTAGCTCTGGTTGTCCTGGAACTCGCACTGTAGACCAGGCTGGCTTCAAACTCAGATCTGCCTGCCTTTAAAGGCGTGGACCACCTTGTGTGACTTTTTTTTTTTTTTATTTTTATTGTGACTAGGCTCTTGAGTGATCACTGACCTCTCTGGTCTCGGTTTACTCGGTGTCTAGCTGGGATGGCAATAGTTGCTACTGGTGTTCTCAACAGAATAAAGGCACATGTCCGTAAATTGTCCTGGCACAGCTAGCTTCATGCCTTTCCTGGGCAGCAGCTCCAACTTCCAGGACAGTGCCCCCTTCCCTTTCTTTCTTATTTTTGTCCTTTTCTGTGAACATTTGCCTCCCCATCAGAGAATGAAGAAGGCAGAGATGGGTTCTGCTTTACTCATTGTCCCTGGCGCCAGCCAGGGCTGGACACAGAAAATATGTGTGGATTGTGTGTATTTTTCTGAACTGGGCAGGACCCAGGTTCAGCCAGAAGTGACAAGTGAGCAAGTGAGGACAGCAAGAAAGTTCCTGGCACAGTGCTGGCCTGGTGACTTTTTTTTTTTTTAAATCATGAATAAGCCCTTAGGTGAGATGAGAGAAAGTAAAATCAAGGAGTCAGGGTCAGGCGATGGAAGGCAGGGCTTCATGATGTGGTGTGGGTTGGGTTGGGTGACTGGATGCAGAATCTGTTGTGGAATTAATTCCCCTCAGATCTTTGCAAAGCTGCTTTCAGCTTCCAGCAGTGGGGTGGCGGACTTTGCCGGAGGGAGTATGAGGACAGCCCAGATGGGTGTGAAGGACAGGCCAGAGAGGGCATCCGATCCCCTGGAGCTGGAGTTAAGAGGTGCACCACCTTGTGCGGTCCTCGGCGAGAGCAGAGGCTGTGATGGATGAGCTGCTACACCATCTCAGGCCCCTTGCTTGCTTTTCAATTCCATTTCCCATCTCTAAGACGGGGCCTTGGTGAATTGGGTTAAACTAGGAACCACGCCTGACCAGCAAGCATGGCAGTTGTATGTCCCCAACTTTAAGGATGAGGAAACAGGTTCTGTTAGGTTAGGTGGCTTGTCTGAGGTTCCATAGCAGTTCAGTGACAGCTAGTATTGAAGCCTACCTCCATGCACTCAGTGGTCGAAAATGGAGGGACTTCCAGAACACTGACCTGACCCATTAGGTATCTGTGTGTTCTGCCTAGGTGCCTGCACGGGCTGCAGCAGGGACTGTCCTTGTTGCATCAGGAGCTGCCCTCTGAGAGTGACATGGCCTATACAGACTTCCTGTCTCTGGATATCAGCATGCTGCGGCTCTTCGAGAGTTTCTTGGAGGCAACACCACAGCTCACACTGGTGCTGGCTATCGTGCTGAAGAGTGGCCAAGCTGAATACTACCAGTGTGAGTGCTGGGCCAGTGACAACCCCTTTGGTGCCCCTCAGTGTTGGCAGTGTCCTCACTCTTAGGTGGACAGAAAGAAAGCAGGGAGACAGAGCATTAGATAGTGGATCTGGATTCTGATCTAAAGTCATTCAAGCTGCATGGAGTTAGAAAAGTGACTCAAACTATCAGTTTATCCTCATCTGAGCATCGGGCATAACAAATGAAACTACCTTGTGGAGTAATGAGCAGATTAAATGTGGGGAATGCATATAGAGCCCAGGGCCTTGCACATTAAATGTGTGCATACGTTTGTGTGTGTTTGCGGGTGCATGTGTGTATATGCAGAAAGCAGAGGTCAGTGTCAGGTGTATTTCGCAATTGCTCTCCATCTTTTATTTTTGAGACAGGTTCTCACTATATAGACCAGGCTGGTCTCAAACTCACAGAATTCCCCTGCTTTTTTCTCCCCGGTACTGTACTTTTTATTACTTTGATGATAATAAATAAAATCTATAGGTTATCTGACACATAATGATAGGTTTGTTAGGTAATGGACATTTTATTGAGCACTGCTTCAACCTGCGTGGGTTGGGGAGTGACCCAACTGGCAACTGGAATAAAGAAACAGGCACCCAAAAATGCTGAGCTTGGGTGGGCCTCGGGCTCTGAAGCAGTGACACAGTGCATCTGAAGTTTCAGTGAATACTGATTCTAGCTAAAGGCCAGCTGCTTTTTAATGTGTGTACTAAGACTGGGCTCTTTGCCGTTCCCATGGGCCTGAAGCATGGGGGTATGTGACATGGTCCACTCAGGACCTCACCTGCTCCCCACAGAGAACCTTCAGACACTCAGGTTTGTTCTTTGTCTGTCACTGAGGTGGTGACACAGCAGAACAAGATACACAGAGCCTCCACCCAGCCTGTAAAACAAATAGTTACACTAGGTGTACTGAGTGAACGCAAGAGTCAGGTGGCAGAGGCTCACAGGGCCCCATAAACCCTCAGAGACATCTGGACAGTGAGGAGCCTTGGGAGGGACTTCTTCAAGACCAAGGACCCAGCCTGGGACTAAGCAATGCTCTACCTCACATCGGATTGATAGCCCAGGGCTCCCCCTTTCTGTTTCCCATCCCTGCATACCTCAAGGTCCTCTGCAGCATCTCCCCAAGGAACCTGCCTCGTCATCACTCCCATGGGACCTGGGAGAACCCCTTGCTTAAGAGAGGTGCCGAAAGGTGCTCATTTTCAGCACCTGGTAGGTACATGGCGTTTCCTTGAGGTCAGAGCCAGGCGGAGATGGTCTACACTGTGGGTTGAGCATGAGGAGACAGGCTTTTCTCAACTTTTAATTGAGCAAACATCCATTTATTTATTTATTTATTTTTACTTCCTTGCTTTGAATTTTTTTTCTTTTTTTTTCAATTTTTATTTTTCCATTCAATTACTTACACTTCCTTCCCTCCTCCTAATCCCCTCTTGCTCCCCCACACCTTCTCCCCCCTACAGGGGGAGGGAGGACAGGTCTAGGGAGCTGTCATCCATATAGACTAGGGTCCCAAAAAGCCAGAACATGCTGTAAAAACAAGTCCCAGTGCCTTTATCAATGGCTTCTCAGTCAGCCCCCACTGTCAGCCACAATCAGAGTCCGGCTTGATCACATGCTTATTCAGACTCGGTCCAGCTGGATTTGGTGAGCTCCCATTAGAACAGGCACACTGCCTCAGTTGATGGACCAACCCTTCATGGTCCTGACTTCCTTGCTCATCTTCTCCCTCCTTCTGCCTTTCAACTGGACCTTGGGAGCTCAGTCCGTTGGTCTGCTGAGGATCTCTGTCTCTATCTCCATCGCCGGACAACTGAGCAGACATTATGTTCCACATATTGGACCACCTGGGGAGCCCAGGGGAACCAAATCAGTTTTCTACCTTCCAGGAGCTCAAAGATAGAAAACAGGCTGGGCGGTGGTGGCACACGCCTTTAATGCCAGCACTCAGGAGGCAGAGGCAGGCGGAGATCTGAATTCAAGGCCAGTATGGTCTACAGAGTGAGTTCTAGGATAGCTAGGGCTGTACAGAAAAACCCTGTCTCGAAAACAAAACTGGCAACTGCTATGTTAATGGGGTGGGTGGAATGTTACAGGGACCTCTGGCTGCAAAATGAGGTCTAGAAGGGCAACCCCAGAAGTTATTCAAGCTGGGGTTTGCAGGGTGAGTAGCCTCGGTAGGCAAGAGATGGGGCTAGCTACAGATTTGATACCAGGCCACAGGTGAGTTCTGGGCATAGTAGGCTCTCAGTAAACTTCTGTTGAGTGAGGATGCACAGGGCATGCCCATGCCACTCCCTCCTTGGAGGCCCAGATGCTTCCAGTTCAGGGTAGGCACTTCAGAGGTAGGATAGGACCCCTATCCTAAACTGGATCTTGGAAAGTCAGGATAACAGACCAGACTGTACATTGGAGGAGAGTAAGGATGGGTTGGGAGGTAGGCCATTGCTCCCAGTCCTGAGGACTGCTGCAGAAGGCCTATTGCTACTCCATGAGATCTGTCTACTTTCTGACATGGAGAAAGGGGGGGCTGGAACTGCTAATTTCATTCCCAGACTCTGGGAATGGAAGGGTGACAGAATCTAGACGAGGCTTAGGGCGAAGGCACAGGAGTGCCGAATACCAAGTGGAGTCTAGGTCACACACCTCCCATCCATATGCTACCAGGGTAGCATTTGAAAGCAGAGTCCTCTCTCTTCTGTTGGAACTTAACTGGGTGTCCTCCTTCTCCAATTGTCTCCTGAACAACTTGGGGTTTCTAGGACCTACTTCAGGGTTTTTTCCAGAGTTCCTGTGAGCCCTGGGGGTTGCCAGGCAGGCTGCACTCAAGGCTGACTTGTTTCTTCTTGCTCTTGGTAGGGTTTGCCATCGGCTCAGCATTCCTGGGCATCTCGTGGGCACTCGTGGACTACCACCGGTCCCTGCGTACTTGCCTTCCCTCTAAGTCTCGCCTGGGCTGGAGCTCATCTGCCGTCTACTTCCTGTGGAACCTGCTGATGCTGTGTCCCCGAATCTTTGCGGTCGCCCTGTTCTCAGCTCTCTTCCCCCAATATCTGGCCCTGCATTTTTTCAGTCTTTGGCTGGTGCTGTTGTTCTGGATCTGGCTTCAAGGCACACAATTTATGCCAAACCCCAACTTTGAGTGGCTGTACCGTGTGACGGTGGCACTCATCCTTTATTTCTCCTGGTTCAACGTGGCTGGGGGCCGCACCCGAGGCCGGTCCGTCATCCACTTGGTCTTCATTATCACTGACAGTATTTTGCTGGTCTGCACCTGGGTGGCACATAGCACCTGTCTGCCCAGCGGGACCTTCTTGCCAACATTGTTGATTATAGGAGGAGCCTGCTTCCTCCTGGGACTGGTTTTGCGGCTGATCTACTACCTCTGGCTGCACCCTAGCTGCAAATGGGAGCTTCCTGACCGCGTGGATGGGGCTCGAAGTCTCCTTCCTAAACCTAAGCTGCTTTATAACAGGCGCGCCACTCAGTTAGCACATAACTTCTTTACCAAGATCAAAGAGGAGAATACTTCTCTGGCAGAGGTTGGAGACATGGAAGAAGCCCTTTGAGGTAGGGTCTGACTCAGCCAGTGAGGAAGATATGGAGAGCTGCTTTCTCTTTCTTACCCACCAAGGCCTCACGTTGCCATTCTTACATCTCAGGTAACTGGTGGAGGTATCCTGTCTCCTGGGTTTCCTGGCCTGCTCTAGGAGGTCCTGGAGTTCTGGGGATGTTCTCAAGAAGTCTTCCCTACCCCCACCCCATCCATTCACGTCAATCAACAAATGTTGAGAGCACTTTATATTCCGGGAGCATCATTCTGACTGTTGAACTGGCTGCCGCCCTACCTTCTTTCCCTACCCACTTGAACAAATCTGATTTCAAAGACCAGAGGCCAGTGACGACCCTGCCAGCCCCTCCAGTGTTGCGATGCAGCAGTCTCTACTCTGGCTCTTGGGCCACCTTTAAAGCAAGTGCCTCACGGACCTGTGGTCTAGGCCATGCACGACCCGCTGAGTATTTTACATACTACCTCAGTCTGTGAAAGGAAGAGAACATGTGCGCATGTATTTAACAGTATTATTAAAACCGTGTAATATTTCCCAAACCAGTATGTACCATTAAATACAATCTGTCAGCCTTTCTATTATGGACAGGTGGCAGGGACCTGGAACCCCTTAAAACTGGTACAGACTCCTGGAATAGAGATATGGGCTGACTTAGTTATGACTTTGTAATGAATATCTAAATTGTTCCAGTATAATAAAAACTTGGGAGGCAGAAATTGAGATAAAGACCTGATAAACCCAAGGACAGTGGAGAGTCAACTGGCTGACCCTCTCTCCACGTTTTCCCCAAATTGCCTCCCTGGAAATCCTCTCTTCCTGTCCTCTCTAGCATATCTCTTCAGTCCTTCAAGAATTCTATGGCAAATCGCTGACTCCATCCTTTGATCTGAGGTGACTTTAGTCACCTCACAGTGGAAGGGTTATACCAACAATTCTCCCGCAACATTCCCCATTTCAGTTGGTAGAGCATGGGACTCTTATTCCCGGGGTTGTGGATTCGAGCCCCATGTTGGATGGCAAATTGTAGCTAGCCTTTCTCTGTCCCACCAGTTAGTTAGTTCCCAAATAATGACAGAGACTTATTATGAAAGCTTGGCCTTAGCTTGAGTTTGTCCCACTAGCTGTTGTAACTTAACCCATTTATACTAACCTATGTTTTGCCTTGTGGCCTTTTACCCCTTTTACCTTTCATTCTATATGCCTGATTCCCTCCATGCTTTGTTGGCACGTAAGGTACCTAGATGCATCTCCTGTTTCCTCTCTCTCTGCCTGGAAGTCCTGCCTATACCTCTTATCTAGCTATTGGCCATTCAGCTCTTTATTAAACCAATCAAGCAATGTATCTTCAGTGTACAAATATCCCACAATGTGACTGAATTTTGCTTTCTAAGATGCAGTAGCTGGTGAGCCCAAGTGGGCTGCTCATCTGGCAGGCAGAACTCACACTTGGGCAGACTCTAGTGCTTTCCCCTAGCAGCTCTGCTACCGGGCCTGAAGAGTAGCATCTCATCTTTAGGACTAGGAGGTGAGTTTGAGGGGCTGGGTGGAGGTGAAGCCGGGGAGTCCTCCGTGGGTAAGAGGTGAAGAGACACATCTTAGGATGTGGATGACAGTTCTGGGGAGATGGAGCGTTCTGTTCTGGTTCCAGTTCTACCAGCCACTTATTGGTGTGGAGGTAAAATAGTGTGACCAAAACTCACTCTGGGTAGTTCACAACGGCCTGTAACTCTGGCTCCAGGCGATTCAACATCCTTCTTTGGCCTTTGCACATGCATATACAGGCACACACTCAAAAAAATTTTTAGAAAATTGAAAAAAAGGAAGTACAAGTTATTACACTAGCCTTGCTTTTAGTCAGTCTATCCTACCGAGATGATGACCTTGAACACATCTTTCTTCTGCTTCAGCCTCCCAACTACTGGGATTACAGGTGTACACTACCACACACAAAACTCTTTATTCCGAAAGAATTTAAAATTATATCAGCGGCATTCCATGTGATTAGAAAATGTCCTTGAGCCAGGTGATGATGCATGTCTTTAATCCCAGCACTCAAGAGGCAGCGGCAGGAGGATCTTTGTGAGTCTGAGGCCAGATTGGTCTACAGAGGGAGTTCCTGGTCATTTGAGACAAGGTTCCACTGTAGATTAGGCTAGCCCAAACTCTTAACAATTTTGCCTCTGCTTCTGGGAAGTCTGTAGTCTGGTGAGACAGGGACTAGAACAAAGGAGCCAGAGGTGGAAGAGCAGGTTCCAGTGCGGAGCTCAAGGTAGTTCTGCCAGCCACTTACTGGCGTGGCAGTAGAATAGTGTGATCTTGCCTCTGCTTCTGAGGATTACAGACAAGAACACCATACCTGACCAGTAACTTTAAAAAAAAAATAATTTATATTTCACGTGCATGTATGTCTGTGTGAGGGTTTCAAATCCCCTGAAGCTGGATTTACAGGCAGTTAGGAGCTGCTACATGGGTGCTGGAAACTGAACCTGGGTCCTCTGGAAGAGCCGAGAGTGCATGTAACTGCAAAGCCATCTCTCCAGCCCCTGACCAAGAACTTTTAAATAAGAAACTTGTTTTAGAAAAAACCATTTTAAGATTTACATGTCCCTAGGCAGCCAGGGCTACACAAAGAAACCAAAAAGAAAAAAGAAAAAGGTTTACATGTCACAGAGGGTTTGTGGGAGAAGTGTTTTGTTAGGAGGAGATGGAGATGTTTGCTCTTGGGATCTGGGGGGCACTCAACACTTAGACCTGTGTTTTTCACCAAGCAGGGCACAGACAACAGCTAACAGACCACTAACCAGGGTACGAGATGTCATCACACTCCTGAGAAAATTCACCTGTGATCTGATGCTTCTGATCCTCAAAATGATAAACAAATCCTATTCACTTCACTGTAATAAAAGTCTTCTCGGCTGTTTTCTAAGACAGTAACGGCCACTCAGACCAGTGTGAAGGACTGGAGAAAAACTGGTTGATATGACATGCGATCAGGTCGGTTAAAGAGTTCGTGTGAGTTTGTTTTACTGGCTTGCAGCTTATGCTCAGCACAGACTGACTTCTCTTTAGTAAAGTTCAGCATGCTTGACAGCTCATGAAACCTACTTCATTTCCACATCTTAAAAAGCAGTGCATTCTAGAAACAATTGAAATAAAAATAAAAACTTCTTGTTTTCCAATGTATACCAAATGATCACTTTTTGTATGTATGAAATTAATGACCAGTTATTGAAAGGGTGACATCTTTCTTAATGAAGCCCTGGTTAGGAACCTGCATGGCTCAGCAACTGGACTAACCATATTTAAAAAGACAAATGAGAAAACTAAATAGAAAATAAAAATTTTATTTTTTTCAAGTTTATAAGATAGTTCCCATTACATATAACATTATGATCAAGGACTCTATAGCCACAAATGCCCACAGTCACATAAATATATCCAACCCAACTGATGCCTTTTCCTGCTGAAGAGGCATCTGAAGTCCAGAGGGAGAGTGGTGATCCAAGTAGAAATGGTCCTTAATGGGATGGCTCCGCTCAGTGTGCTAGGAGGCAGCCAGGAAGCCTTGCTTGCTAGAGCTGACTTAGGGTAGAGGGAGGACAGGTGGCCTGTGAACAGAGCTGGGACACATGCAGATTTTTGCCTCTGGTGGATAAGATATTTGACCTCAGAATTCCAACTTGGTATGTACAATAAGTCTGTCTGGATAGTTTTAGCTTCTTGAAGATGAAGATCAGGTTAGCAGCAAGGAACATAAACGTACTCAAGAAGGGCCTCTGCTACACCCTGGAGAGGAGTGAAGGAAGGCCCAAGCTTGCCACCTGGGGGCTAGCCTATACTCCAGGAGGTCAGTCCCCCCATGCTTTGCCTGGTGCTCTTGTCAACTGTGACTCCCAAAGTAGTGTCTGGAAGTGCCACACGATTGCAATATGTCAATCAGATTCTAGTTGGAGCTGCGAAGGTTGAATTGGTGTGAATCGCAAACAAGCTGTGCCAAGTCTCTTGGGATGCTAGATCTGACACCCAACTTGTACAGAAGACAGAACACCCCCAAATTAAAAGCCCAAATAGGCACCTAAATTCTGGAGCAGGGATCCACTCTCCCGGACATCACCAGCTGTCCCAGGGGCACTGGACAGGGTGATGCTAAGGCACAGTCAGTTTTACATTCGAAAGTCACCTCATATCCCAGGACATTGCTGCACCTCCACAGACACTCTTAGAATTAGCCCACACCATGAGATGTCCAGACTAACCCTTCAGAACACTGAATCCAGCAGGGAAGGATGCACCAGCGATTACTCAGGGTGCTCTGTCCAGTAAAGACGGCCTCTTTTTAATGAAACGACCCAGTTGCAGCTCCAAGTTCCAACAGCTTTTGAGTTTTAAAAGAAATTTTATTTTCTGAGTGTTTTCTTGCATGTATGTAAGTGCTTGGTGCCAGAAGAGGGCATTAGATCCTCTGGAACTACAGTTATAGATGTTGTGAGCAGTCCTGTGGGCGCTCACACCCTGACCTCTATACCAGCCGCCACTGTTATTAAATAGCAAGCCGTCTTTCTAGTACCAACAGTTCCTAATGCTGCCAGCTCATTTTCCTACCCAAGCCTTTTTGGGAGGGAGGGAAAGTCAATGCCAAGGGCAGCAGCTCCTGGATGCTCCTTTTGGTGGAGACACAAATACACCCCTGCTTCCTGTCTGCCCTGACAGGGTAGTTGCTGCCAGAGCAGAGGCTCCTCAGCTCATTATCTCCTTGCTTCTCTTGGCCAAGTCCAAATTCTTTTTGTAAAGAGAGCTAAATTGGGCAGGCAGGGCAAGATGAAAAGAGATTCCACGATACATTCTAAGAATGAAGAGTTTCCCCTTAAGTGTTCATGGTATGACCTGTGTGCAGAAGGCTGTGTGTCACCACCTGACAGTCTTAAAAGCCTGAAGTCAGCAGGTGGCCTTTGTCCAGGACAAGAAACTACACTGGCAACGAGGGACGGGTTGAGGCTTCAAAGTAAAACGTATCCTCGAGTTTTCTATGATGAACCAAGAAAAAAGGCCGGGCAGTGTTGGGATGGTGGTGCTCAATGTAGCCTAGGAAAGTTAGGCTTCGATGCCACCTCTTTGTTCCCACCCCCATCTGAAAACAAAGCCAAATGAGTGACTAAAATGGAACACCAACCTCACTTCCTGTCTGAGTCCCTTCCTCAACTGCTGCTCTCAGAAGTACCGTCCAACAGTTCTGAAGGTGGTGTGCCAGCCTTTCTGCTGCTGTTCGGTAGCCTGGCATTAAGAGGGACCTTGGCCCTGTGCTGCAGCATTTCTGGGGATAGTGACTGTAGCAGTGGTTGGTCAAGGACCCCTGAGGAACAGAGTAACACATTTCCTCAACTCTAGGGAAGGTTCCCCCAATCAAGCAGGTACCCATATTGGTCCTCAGGGGACAGTGCCTTCAAACAAAACAAAACCACAATAACAACAACAAAGTCAAAAAACAAAACCCAGCTGGACTTGAAGGCTGGGACTAGGCCCAGGTTCTCCTCCAAAGCATCTGGGGCAAGCTGACAGGGCCCTTGCAACTAGCTCAGAGTTCCATTTTCAGGCATTTAAGTCAAGAGAGTATTTTTGGCCTGGTTTCCCACTTCAGCATGGCATCTAAGAAATGATGAGTATTTCATGGGAAATTGGGTTGTGGTTCTAGCAATCTGTTCTCTATTCCCAGACACAGATCTGGGCAAATATAAGTTTGGATAACTGCATGTAAGTGCAGGGCAAAGGAAACAGGTGTAGCCTGCTCTGAAGACTTTTTGACTTTACCTGAGTGGGCAGGGGCTGGCCAGAGCTGCATGGAGAGAAATGGATTTGAGATAGAGCAGGGAGTGTGAACCCAACATTTGATGACTGAGCTGGGAGCTGCTCTGCAGGAGGAGCACTAGGAAGACTCCTACCTCAGGAGTCAAGGATGAAATTCCTAAGGACCCCGAGTCCCTTCTCTCCGATTTGGAGGGTGAGCCTTCTGGGACACAGTCTCTAAATTATGACTAAAGGTGTAGATTTATTGTTTATGGGAAGGAGTTTCCGGGGTTGTGACTTTTGGTTACAGATGAAGAAGGACTAGTAAGGAGACAGAGGCTTACAGGATGGGAGATGCCAAAGTCTAAAGTTAGTAAGTGACCAGGGGCCTAAGACAGTGAGGAGCCTCCTGGAAAGCAGAGTCCTGGGCCACTAAAGGGTGCTACTGACACAGAGAGGTATTTCAGACATTTCCATTACCACTGTCACGGAAACTTTACACACCGCTTTCTTCATAGAGTGGGGGAGGAGTGCTTCAGAGACCAGACCCTCAGCTATAAAAGTAACATACCCATCAACTGGGAGAGGACTTCTACATCTAAGATTACAGGAGATGTTCTCATGGGACGCATTTTCCGTCAGCATGATCAGGAGGAGCTCCCAGTCTGTCCATGCACCAAAGGTGCAACTGTGCCCCAAGCATTGCCTTTTCTCGCACTTCTTTCTTGAATGAAACAGAACTAAAGCATAGTAGCAGCATCAAGTCTGCTGATCCATCCAGCCACCTTCTGCTGGACTATGGATGGGGCCGCGGCTTGCTCTTAGCAAAAACTGCAATTGGTTCTGATTGTGTTCTCGCCAGCATTCCACGGAGAGAGAGAAAGAGCACAAGAGAAGGGGAAGAGGCGCTGAGACACAGACAGACAGGAGAGAAGGGTCTCAGAGGGCTCTGGCCTGACTCCTGTCGGAGGTAAAAGAAGCTCACAAGGAAGGAAGGCTCTACGTTCCAGTTCTCAGAGGAAGTCAAGCTCTAAAGCCTGGTGCAGGGACACCAGGTCTCCATGGTTTGTGATCCTCCAGAAGGGCATGTTGTGCTGGAAGAGAAGAAGAAAGGCTAATTAGCCCAACTTCTGGGACCTAACTTACACCCCCTCCTCCACAGATGTCTCCTTGAGGCTCTTGGAAACCCATCTATCCTTGTGTCAGAACTTTGTATAGTACAGGACACAGAAATATGAGGAATCTGTATAAGATTTCAATGCTACCTATGCTTTTTATAAGAGATACCTGTCCTAGTTTTTAAGGTTTTCAGGATCAAATAAAATGGTGATAAGAAATTAGTATTTCTTTTTTTTAAAATTTATTTATTTATTATGTATACAACATTCTGCCTCCATATATGCCTACAGGCCAGAAGAGGGCGCCAGATCTCATCATCACGGTTGTGAGCCACTATGTGGTTGCTAGGAATTGAATTCAGGACCTCTGGAAGAGCAGCCAGTGCTCTTAACCATTGAGCCATCTCCCCAGCCCCCAGAAATTAGTATTTCTCAATGTAGTATCAAATGCCTGTGATCCTAGCACTTGGGAGGCCGAGGCAGGAGGATTACAAGATTGATGCCAGGGACTGGGGAGACGGCTCAGCAGTCAAGGGCACTGGCTGTTCTTCCAGAGGACCCAGGTTCAATTCCCAGCACCCACGTGGCAGCTCACAATTGTTTATAACTCCAGTTCCAGGGGACCTGACACCCTCACACCAATGCAAATAAAATGAAAGAAAAAAAAAAAAGGTTGAGGTCAGTGTGAGCAACACAGCAGACCCTGTTACTACTAACAGGCTGGAAAGGAAGCTGCTTTGCAAGTGGTCAGTTTCCTGCAAGCTTTTGCTCTAACAGGCTCAAATGCTTCCCATGTCCAAGATGCAGGATGTTATGGCACCAGACTTGTACCAAGTACCACCATATGCTGTTCTGGAAGGATTATTCAAGTGCAGAAAACCATGTTCTGTGAAGTAGAAGTGGATCACTTTCTCTGACCATCCTTTTTGGCTACCCAACAGTAAAGTTGTTAGCAGACAGCAGAGGAGGAGGACAGCAGAACTAGATGACGGCATTCTGTCCAATGAAAAGAAGGACACTGACAGCTTGGATGGCCCCATGGTATGCGGCTTGGGAATCAGTTCCCTTTTCCTTTGGGTATGTTCATGCAAGGACTAGTTTTCTTCCAGACAGAAAGAAAGATGTTGCATAAAGCACTCAGACTTTTTTGGTTTTTCGAGACAGGGTTTCTCTGTTTAGGTCTGGCTATCCTGGAACATGTTCTGTAGACCAGGCTGGCCTCGAACTCACAGAGATCCGCCTGTCTCTGCCTCCTGAGTGCTGGGATTAAAGGCGTGTAACAACACCACCTGGCACACTCAGACATTTTTAATCAATATATTCTGTTTTTCTTTCTCATGTTGAGGACTGGCTACTAGGACTTTTACACCCTGGGCTCCTGGAGAATGTATTTCCTAGTAGATTGCAGACCTTAGCTTAGGGGTGACCTCTGCGACTGCTCAAGCGCTTCTCTTCCCTACTACTTCTCCAGACTGAGAAGCCACTGATGTTTTTCCCAAAGGGAGACTGAGCAGTACTGGAGAACCAAAGCTTCGATGGTTAACATGGAAAAGCTCTATCAAGTTCTATGAATTGCTCTATCAAATGGCAAATGATAACATGGAATAATGATGCCAACTGATTGTCAATCACATAGTTCACTAAAGTTGCTATGATTTCTATGAACTGGGTGAAGAAAATCAGGGCAGTCCTAGTTGGTAAGCCATGGTTCTAAATCTAAAAAGAAAAGAAACAAAGGCTAAGGAGAGAACTTTCATAGCCCTCAGAGACGGCTGAGTGGCAGGGAGGAAAGGACAGAGGAGAACTTAACAAATTACAGGAAAAACTCTACCTGGGAAAAAAATGACCCTTTTCTTAAAGAAAAGCGAGGAAGGACAATATATACTACAAATACACAATAGTTGTAAAGATTTTTCAGTTTTACCATTTTTCTCCCCTACCCCCTTTTTGACAGTCTCATGCATCCTGTGAACTATGTAGCCAAGGATGCCCTTTCAACCTCCTGCTTACACTTCACAAGTGCTGCCATTACAGCCAGCTCCACCCTGGCTATACAGTGCTGAGGACTGAATCTGGGTTCCGTGCGGCTAGGCAGCAGTCTGCCAAGTTAGGTATATCCTCAGCCTTTGCTCCCTCCTTCACTTACAGTCCCACCGCAGCCACACATGCTCCATATCCTCTTCCTCCTCCAGATGTAGGGATTACGATGCGCACCACTGTACGGGCTCCACTGCACAGTTTTTCTAACTGCTTCATAACCACCACATAGCTGATTTCTTATTTTCTTTCTACAGTTACCTGTTTGGCTGCGATTTCTTCATCTCGTCCATCTCCAATCACTACATATGTGACTTTCTTCCCAAACCTTGACACAATTCTCTCAAAGCAGCTCTCCTTACCTGTAGGAAAAACACATCTCCTGTTAGTCTTCCCTAGCTTTCTCAATACTGAAGGTAAGGACTGCTGCTCCACTCACCTGCCATGCTAGCAGCCTGTGCAGACTACTCGGGTTGGAACAGAGCCAGAGCTTCAGGAGCCCCTCTGCCCAAACAAAGTCAAAGAGTGCCATTCCCAAAACAACTCACTCTAACCCTCACAACAACTACCTAGAAACAGGACAAGGAGCCTAGGATGAACAAGCTGTAACCACCTCCACCTCTCTTGTGTATTTCCCATACTTTTGAGCTTACAAAGCACCCACCTCTTTCACTGAACCGCCATTCCCAGCTTTACAGACCACCATAGGTTTAGTGTCTCACCAGATCACATGCCAGCAGCTAGACTTAGCTTGATCTCGACTCCAAATTCAGGCTATGGCCACGGTCTACGGCAACTGCTCTTTTTAGACTCCATGATTTTTTCCCTCCCCCGAGACAGGGTTTCTCTGTATAACAACTCTAGCTGTCCTGAAACTCAGAGACCTGCCTGCCTCTTCCTCCCAAGTCCTGGGAGTGTGTGCCACTACTGCCCAGCTTCCATATTTTTTTTATTGATTAAATCTGTTCTTAGAGAATTTCACGTGTATAATAATGTTCTGATTACTCTCAGCCGTGCCTGTCATCTCCTTCCCACCTCTGTGACGCTCCCTTTCAAAGTCCCTTTCCCACATTCATGTCTTTTTGTTTTGTGTCCCACGGGTTTGTGACCAAGAGCTGAGAGCTATCCACTGGAGCCTGGTAGGCTTCTTTATTCTGCTCCATTAACCTCATTTTTAATTCCTGTCAGATCCAGTGACCTAACACTCTTCCGAAAGACCCTGGAATGCCACCTGCAGGAAAGTAGTCATGATACCTGTAAATATGACACTCCTAACCAAGCAGCACCTCAGTGGTGTCCTGGTGCAGACACTGGTCTGCTCTGGCTCTCACTCTCAGCTTCTTCCTTAAGAGACAAGGCTTTTTGGGTGTATGTGGTGTTTTTGGTGCTTACTTCACCGTGGAGGTCCAGCCTGACTCTCCTCTGCAGCATGTAGTTGTTGCTGAATGAATGCTTTTGACTGTATATTAACTTACCATAAGACTCAGAGAGCCACTATACTGAGCCCAATTCGGATAAACTATTAGATAAT